AAAAAAAAAAAAAAAACGCTAGTATCCTGTATCATCACCAATAAGACCTTGAGTTTTCTCTAGTCACTATGAATGGTTGCACTCTCAATGCTTTGAATATCTATTTGGGCTCAAGTTCACTCCAGGCCTCAAGTGGGATTCATATATATGATCCATTGCTAAAAACTCTGATAAAATGGTCAGCTCATTCTATCATTTCAGGAAATACCCAATTCCTGCTATGCTTTATCTTTACAATAATCAGCTCAGACCAAAAACGGAGTACTGCTGCCATATCTGGGATGGAGCTACTCAATCTTCACTTTCTAACTTTGTGGGTGAATAGGTTGTTTTTCTTATACATGTTGAGAGTCACTAAAATGTTGTGGGGGAATTCACTCACATTATAGCAGCAGAAATTAGCTTTGTGTTCACAGCAATAAAAGCATACATGACAGAAAATAAAATGTGTAGAAATAACAGGAAAAGTATGGTAAATTGTATGTTAATTTCATACAATTTATTTATATTTTGTGTGCATTGGTGTGTGTATTTTTTAGGTTATCCTTGTTTTATGGTACATGAGATAAAAGGGAGAAACTTACTCCGTAGTATTACAAGCCATATCACAGAGAGAAGTGACAAACATGTTGCCCATACCATGATTTGTGGTGAAGAGGTTGAATTGGCAGGATGTCTGTATTTCCAGCAGGAACAGTTTTCATTGCATGCTGGGAGTATTTATTTTCATTTATTTATAATAATAATAATATCCCTACAAGTTCAAAATTATTTACATGATCTCATGAGAGATGAACTCTTCTCCCCTCTACAGCATAAGCCTGCTTGCTATACTATTTTCATGGCAAATGTTCACAGGAGACTCAATTCTTTCATTCCACCAGTTCTAACCTTTATAGCTTGAACCACTCATGTTGTTTCCACAAAATCGAATTACCTTCACTTCCTCCATGTTCCAAATGTAAGGAGAAATTTCCACTTAGACAGCTTTTTCCTATGAACTACTAACTTTGTGGATGCTTCCCTAAAAACCAGAATCCTAACTGCTTCAAGCCAAGGATCAATCATTATCTCTCCTTATGCTCATAACCTTCTCTTCCATTCAAATCACACACTTTATTCCTAAAAAAAAATGTTTTCTTACCAGTTCTGTGGGTTCCATGCCTAGATGATAAAATATGTTGAAGATGTTAATGGTTAAAAAGATATATAAATGCTGGTCTAAAAATGCCTATATATATATATACACACACATACATACATACATACATATAAAATTTGACACTTAGCTGATTGATGTTGTTGTATGAGAATAAATTTTGTTGCCAACACTGTGGTTTGAAACTAGATCGCCAGTGAGTAACATGGATGATTCTATTATTAAGTAGATCATGTGATCATAAAGGAAGTGAATAAATATGAAGTAACATAACAATCATTATTTCTCTTCTATCAACTGTACGGATCACTGTTCACTCTTCTTGTCTATCCACTATTGCTATATGTTCACTCTCTCTACTCTACTACTATATGGATTATGATTCTCTTCTGATCATTATACTATTTGGCAATTACTACTTGAACAAATATTACTAGTGCAGGCTTTCACTTGACATATCAAAAATGACAAGCAAAGCTGTCCAACATCACAAAAGATGTTATATTCAGCAATGCCAGAATTTTGTAAATTAACTCTTTTGTGATTGTTCAGTACACTTATGTGGTTTCAGCAATTCATTGCTGTTTTTCTCAATTCTTATTATTTTTATATTAAGTTTTATTTAATTAATTTATGTGCTAGTTGGTAGAACTTATTATTGGCATTAGTTTGATGTGTGTGTGTGTGTGTGTGAGAGAAATATCATAGTTATTTCCCCTTTATATCATTTTCTTGTTTCCTTATATTCTCTCCCTTTTCCTTTTTTACTCTTTCGGCTTTGGGTGTCAAATGTAATTTAACGATTTCATTTCTGGTGTCACAAACAGAATCTTTAGATATATTTGTATATAAAACAAAACTAATTTTTCATACAAGAAGAGTTAGTTGCTGTATTTTTGAGCAATAAATCTCAAGTTAGTTTAAACCATGTGATGATTTGATGAAAATTGTGTTGATATGAAAATTAGAGTGAAAAGACTGTTTTTTAAAAGAAAAAACTCAGAACATATGAAGCAAGCTGCACAAAAAAATTGGGTAAATACAGGCATGAGAGAATCTGAACCTTGAAATATCAAGTAAAGTTAGACAAACCATAAGGTTAACAGTAAATGAGAAATTTCCTAATTGAGAGCCAATGGTATTTTTGTGTGGCTTCATATTAGAAAAATATCTTATCAGCTGTTTCATGAACAATCATTGCTTTTAGTATCTTCATCATCACCTACAAAGTTTTGAATCTTTGATTCACTGTCAAAGTAAGAAAACTTAGAGCAAAAAACATTTCTTGTCATTTCATCTCTTCAACCACTCTAACAAAAACATTTCTCATGAATTTTCGTCAAATGTTCCCAATTGTTAAAAATAATTAAAAAAAAAAAAAACAGATGCTAACCATTATCATGCTTTTGTATAGGTGTTAACAGGAAAATTTCATCAGAAACAAAGAAAAGAGTATTGAACTATGTAATATCAGTCCTCTATGGCTGGGAATGTTGAACACTGTTCTCGTAAATGAAGAGACGGAGCAACAGAGATGTGGTTCTACAGAAGGACACCGAGAATATCATGGATGGAACATATGAATAATGAGAAAGTTTTAAGGAAAATGGAAACAAAAAGGACACTTCTTTGTATCAAAAAGGGACAGTTGAAATTTCTTGGACACTCACAGGACATATTGAAGGCAAGAGGGGCATAGAGAAACCACTAGTAATCTACCTAACTAGCTAAATGGCAGATACGGAGGGAGAGAGATAGTGAAAAAACAAACCTTAGTAAGAGCTACAAAGGATAGAAAGTTGTGGAGTTATTATATTGGTCTCAGATTCCATTTTGTATGATTATGTTCATTCTTTTCATGTGTTAAAGCATATCTCCTTTTAATCCATTCAAAAAGATGCTTTTACTGAAATAAATTGCAACTAAATTGAGTTCTTTGATTATTAATTGGCATATTTGATTAAGCATGAACGATTTTATAGCATGCATTCTTCATTTATTTGAAGCAAAATATAATTATTTTTTTTTCCTTATTTCAAACTATTAATGGTATTTACTTGGCCTACAATTCACTCATTATTATGCAATCCTGTCAAAACGCAAAAAGGTTACTGACTTGTGTACTAGACTAAACAGCAAGCTATAATTGGAGGAAAGTGTGCAGATTGCATAGACAAATGATTCAGTCTTTATTAGGTGCTCCAGAAATGTACCTTTTGCCTTACTTGGTTCAATTCAAGTAAGTCAAGACAAAAAAATAAAATTTGAAAAAAAAGTGTTTAATGCAAATATTATGAAAAAAGATAAAATGTCTTTATTTACAAATGGTCAATGTAGAATTCTTTGTTTCTAAATCAAGGACTTTTTGGATATTCTTTTTTTTTCACCCTGTTAATTCCCAATTCAAAATATGCTTTCCAAAATATTTTTCAGTTATTGTTGTGTTATTACAATACTTGATCATTAGATTATCATTGAATCAGAATGTTTTGCTTGAAAGAAAAAAAAAATCCCACACCAATATATCTATTTACACCAAGCTCAGAATATTGAATTTGCCTTGGGTTAAGATCTAAAGATATCTAATGACTGGCAGAATATCATACAAGCTAATTTAATGCCTTTTTTTCTTTTCTTTTTATTAGTGACAATCATTATAATAACTTAATACCATCAAGGTGACTTGAGTTTACTTGGGATTTTCCTATGTGAATTTATGATCAATGACTTCATCTTTAAGAATTAAATCATGTCTTGGGGAATAGTCTTATTCTGTAAATCTCAAGTTATAATTCAGGTGTTTGCTTTTGTGAAAATCTTGTTAGTTCTTTATTTCCAGTTAAAAAAAATACAATGTATTTTATACAAAATAGTTTAATCTTTGTAAATTTCTTATTCATAAAACAATTAAATTGCATGATTAAACATCTATCATATCAAGTTTACACTCCAACCCACGTCTTTTTAACAGGAGTAAGTGTTTATCTCTTGTTTCTTGTTTAAGATTGTTTCCGGTTCCTTCTAAAATCTTCTCATCCTATTTCACTCCCAGTAGCCCCTTGTGTCTTAGTGTCATATTTGCCTTGCTTGGGATGTGTTGATTTTTTTTTTTTAAAAATCACTCCAAGTAAAGACCTGTTATTGCAGATAAAACCAGTTATGTTTCAAGAATGTATTTTTCATTAAATATATTAGAGCAGTGGTTCTCAGGTTATAATCCTCCAAGTTTCTGCTATTCCTCCCCATTTTTAATTATGATCTATTAATTTTTCACCATTATAACTGACTTATACACAAATTAGGTGGGGGTTAGTAAAATAAATGCCTTCCTCCTTATAGAAATGATGTGAACTAATTTTTTATGTGCAAATTCTTACTTACAGCTTCCTTGGTTTATCCTCTTACCTCTTCAAATAATGACCTGCTTTCATGCTTATGATTGTCATTGCAATATTCTGTTAAGGTCATTAAGCTCAAATATTTAACAATACAATAGGAAAAATTTCCATGGGCAGGTATTTTATAGTCTTGGTACTTGCAAGGATCTTATTCAATCAAAAATTATGATTCAACAAAAATATTCAAAAAGAAAACTGAACTTTTCCCAAATGCTGCTAATTTTAAATGAATTGTTATTTTTTGTGATTCAAATTTAGACATTTTGGATGCCTAAGAATGTTCAAGAATTATTTTTCATGCTCGAATGAAATTTATTTTTTGATGTTGAGAATTTAAATAATTCATAAAAGACAGAGAATGTTCTTTTGATCTTTAAAAAATAATTCTCTACCATGCTTAGGCATCTTAATCACCAAAAATGGCAAGTTTATAGCCACATCATATTAAAACACTGGTTCCCTGTATGATCACTGAAGTTAAGCAACATCGAGCCTGGTCAATAGCTAGATGGGTGACCACATTGGAATATCAGGTGCTGTAGCTTGGATGTGCAGGTTGTATAATGGAAAATGGCTCAAAATTGTTAATCAGAGAGCCAAGTTTCAATTCCTGTAGGGTTTGTTATTTTCACTTATGCACAAGTCCCCTTGGAAAATGTATGAATCCACCTCCTCTCTCCCCCAGCCATCATTCTAACAACTATCTACCTCCATAAACTAAATAAAGCATTCAATTTAAAATTTCAACAAATATCACCTGAAGAAAGTCAGAGTGTACAATAGCCAAAATGTTGTGAATATGGCAATAAAGATGGTATTTATCAATCCACCCACGGGGATCGAATGTGGCACAAGGCCTTTTTAATGTGGGTATCTCTGAGCCCGTAGGCCCAGCCAAAAATAAATAACCATCCAAACCCGCCGAGGCGGGCCAGTTCCGTCAACCTCCACCAACGAAACCCTACCCTTCGGCGGAGCTTCGTCTGGTATGAACGCAACTCACATAGGAAAAGAAAATTTTAAAATCATGAAATTGTTCATATGCCAGTAATGATAATAATAAATAAAACAACTTCCTTGGGCCAAATACTTGTTAGTGTCAACAGCATTCTGGATAATCACAAGATTATCCTCAGTTGTTGAAATATAGTGTTTTTGTTTTACAGACACAGTATCTAGACCATGACTGACGAGGAAGATTTTTTCCCACAGTAGGTTGCCATTTCTTTCTGCAGTTGACCATTAGCCATCCAAGGCTATAGAACCCCATCTGTCCTGCTATTTACCCATAGCTGGGGAGAGAAGAGGATTCATACCTTTTCCAAGGGTGTTAGCACATATGTGAATATCATGGATCTGATTTGAATTTGAACACAGCTCTCCGATTTCTCAATCTGAGCCGCTATCCATTATTCCATCGTGCCTCCTTGCTTGCTTAGTAAACATAAAAAATTAAAACTATCATCCTCAGAAAGGAAAACTAAAAAAAAAAAATTCTTTTACAGTTATAGTGGTATTAAGTCACTAATTTGGAGCAGTGTTTACCAATTTCTTGTAGTATTATTAATTTTTGAAGAGATATTTTGTATTGAATATGATGTGGGTACCATACAGGGGAAGTAAGACATATCTTGTTCCCATTGTATTCTGTATGTGAATATGTATATAAGAGTGAATGAGTGAGAGAGTGTGTGTGAGTGAGCGAGAGAGAGAGAGAATGAGTAAGAGAGTGTGAGTAAGACAGAATGAGAGTGGGAGTGAGTAAGACAGAGTGGGAGTGAGTAAGACAGAGTGAGAGTGGGAGTGAGTAAGACAGAATGAGAGTGGGAGTGAGTAAGACAGAATGAGAGTGGGAGTGAGTAAGACAGAATGAGAGTGGGAGTGAGTAAGACAGAATGAGAGTGGGAGTGAGTAAGACAGAATGAGAGAGAGAGAGAATGAGAACTTTTTTTATCTACTGCTTTATAGTTAGCTATCTAGTAGGCATTAAGTGAAATCCCCTGGCATACAAAATGGGGTAATACTACCTCAGATATGTCACTAAAATGACAATAATTGCTTTCCTTTCATATGTACAATGTTTGAAGGTTATTTGACAGAAACTGTTGAATTATTTTGCTGTCATGGTGATGGTTCTGTTTTCAACTTAAAAAAAAAAAAGAAAAAAAAGAAAAAGAAAACGAAAAAAGAGAAAAAGAGAAAAGAGAAAAAGAGAAAAGAGAAAAAGAGAAAAGAGAAAAAGAGAAAAGAGAAAAAGAGAAAAGAGAAAAAACTAAAAGAGAACTTTCTTAAATCTTACCTTTCATATCTTAGTAAATTTAAAGTAAGAAAGCTATTCTTTTGAACACGAGAGCCCATAGTCCTCATTTAAATAAATCAAACACTGGGCCAAGGAAATGATGATCAGTGTAATGAAAATAAGAAAATAATTTTGGCATGTCTGTTCTAAGAATCACCTTTTGAGAATTGATTTTTTCTTTGTGGTAGTACACCAAAGAAATTCTTTTTTCCTTCTTTTGCTTGGCATGATGGGACCAGACACTTTCTTTTAACTTATACATGTCTGAATGCTTTTTCAATTTTTTTTTAATCTTCAGGTTAAATCCAATTTGTATGAAACATAATTCTTTCTGTATTTTAAATCAGAACAAAGTCATAATGTTTTTTTTACTAATATCAGTGGTATACAACCTGGTGCCCCCCACTACTATAATTATGAGTATCAGAATATGATTGAATTTCAGCATAAAAAAAATGTTTTCTTTAAATATTAATTTAAAATAACAAAAAATCCAGTACATAAATTTATTAATAAAATGAAATTTTCCAAAGAGTAACAACCTGCTACAAAAAACTTCAAACCATAAAATGGAAAAATTGAATGATTATATTTTGATTCCTCCTTCAGGCTTCCAAATAATATATTTTATTAAAACATGTTATTAAAATCCATTTTCTTTGTTAAAGTTCCAAAAGGCATACCAAAGAGACAATGTCATAATTAGGTCGACAATCAAACATGATAAATAAATTTATACAGAACAATACAATATTTTCAACAAAAAAAAAAAAAATGATGAATTTTAATAGAAAATTATAACAGTTCAAAAGTTTTCTAAAAGTAGTTATGATGCAATATCTACCTAAATTCTGGGACACAATGAAAAAAGGCTTGGAAAATTTGACACTCACAGGATATATTGAAAGCAAGAGAGTTAGGTAGGTTACTTGTTGTTTCCCTCTAAGGAGATTGTGTAAATGGATAGCAGAATAGGAAGTGGGAAGGATAGTAAGGAGACAAACATTGCTTAGAGCTACAAAGGATAGAAAGCTGTGGAGAGCCATGATCGCCCATGTCCTGAAAGGACACAGTACATAAAAAAGGAGCCAGTTACAGAGAACCATGATTGCTCACATCCTTAAAGAGCCAGCTAATTTAACTAGTCATTCCTAAAGATATATAATTTGAATTTACAGTGCTCTGTATATTACTGTCACCATGATTGTTTTCAACCTTCTTGGGTTCTTTAAAAAAAAAAAAAAAAATTAAGGTTGGTTTCTTTAATTTAATTAAATTTTTCCATCCAACAACTAATATTAGAAATCACAGACTAGTTCTTTCTAACCTTTATTAGTATCTGCTACATAACCCAGATATTAACATTCCACACTACTTCAAATAAAAGATTAGGAAGAAAATCCCCCATCAATACTGGAAAGAGTGATAACAGCTACTGTGCTTTTCTGAAAAGTTGTTTTAAAAGAAAGCAGTACTGACTTAATCAGTAAATGCTAAATGTTTCCTTATATGGAAACAGCTATTATTGACATTATATAGTTGTCTTAAGAAAGACAGGTCAGCAGATTGTATATATTAGATGAACAACTCTAGAACTCTTTTATAAAATGGGAAGAATGAAATCTATAAAATACATTAGGCACTATTTGAAGAGAGGATAATCCTTTCTAAATACAATTGCTATTTGAAAGGCTTGAAGTCTTGGGTCGCTAAAAAGAAAATAAGGAAAACCATAATTAGGAGAAGAAATCCATAAGAAACAGTCTTATGAAGATTTTACTATTGACTTGACTATTTTGTACTATAGAGTCAAAATGACAAAAAGTTACTTTCTAAACTCCAAAATAATTTTTAAAATATACACTCCAATGGATATAATGTTTTATTAATGAAATTTAAAAAATTTAAATAGCCATTAAATTCATTTAACAACTTGAATTGTTTAATTAGCTGCATGCTTTCTGAGTATTTAATTGACCCCATTTTCAAGCAATTAAAAATATATATACAGTTGCTATGGTTGGTGGTCAGTGCAGTTTGGGAGATGCCATTTTAATGCTCTTCCAATAAATAGATAAATGGGATAGATAAAAAATGAACACTTTCATGGTAAATGTCAGTTTCACACCTCAACTGATCTTCAGGCTGAAGTTGGCATTGATGTGTTAAACTGACATATACAGAAAATCATATATTTAAGATTTGCTACATTTAATACTTTGAAGTCAGTCAGCCTAGTCAGTCACACTTTCAATTCATGACTGACTAGGCAGAAGATTTTCCTGTAATAGGTTACCATTTCTTTCTGTGGTAGACTGATTGGCAACCAAGGCTAAAGGACCCAATCTTTTCTGTTATAAAAGAGTATTGATAGTGTACACAGAGAAATCAATACTACATGATTATTACTAGTTTCACATTTCATTGCAAGATATATATATATATATATATATATATATATATATATATATATATAAATTCCCAAGAGGATAGAATCAAGGTAGAACTCAATGTCCAGAACAGAGTAAGAATATAATAAAAAAGGCTTAAACACTAATATTCCATGGTTATAATTTATTACATTGGAATCATAATCACGATCTAATTCATCAGACCTACAAATAGATGAGATATTGCATTGATAAACTACTGATTCAATATGGAATTTATTATTAAGAGGACATTTTTAGGATTTCTACAGTTACATAATTTTTCCTTATCTTCACTTCTTTTTATTTTAGGATCTATATTTTTTGATTTTGGTATAATTGTTTATTCAAGATATCAGCATTATGTTTCTTAATAATCGTTTCCAAGTTTTCGGTACAACTGTAACTTAATTTTAGGGTATTCTTATTAAAAATTATACTGAGTATACTATCTCTAGGAAAATGTTTATCATTTAATGCAAGGAATTTTTGTCCCAACTTATTTCTTATCATTTGGTTGCATGGGATGTATACTAAATGATCTTTCTATTTCTATTTTTTCTACGGTGTCCATTTTCATATTTTATATAATTGAGTTTTGGGCTTTTATAGCCACTATTCTTTAGAGCTTTATTATAAAAATTACTATGTTCATAGAATATTTTCTCATTTGCTGAATTTGTACTTATTCTTTTTTCGATGAAAGTATATGCTTAATTATAGATGGAGGATGATGAGACTCAGAGTGTATATACAAGGGATTAGTATTGGGCTTTTTGTATGGTATGTATATATTAACTAATCAACCATTGTA